ATTATTCCTATTCATCCTGTATATAGCTTGTTTGTTTATCTTTGTTTGCATGTTGTCTCTCCCTTTAGATTGTGATTTCCTTCAGGGCAGGGATTGTCTTTTGCCTCTTTTTGTATCCCCAGTGATTATTAAAGTGCCTGGCACATAGTAGGTACTTAATAAATGTCAATTGGCTGATTAACTAGTCAGTCAATTAACAAACATTTAATTAAGCTCTTACTATGTATCAGGTGCTGTAAAGACCAGTTTAGCTCCATGCTGCCCTATAAAAGGTTAGGTAGAGAATAACACAAGAAAGAGGAGTGACAGCTAGTGCATTTCCAAATATTGCTTAGGTAGGTGGGGTGGAAGAGGGGAGACTAACAAGGTCAGTGACATCATAGGTAGATACCACCCAATACAGACAAGAGATTCCCAGTGCCCCAGCCTTCACACATGAAATGCCTCATGACTGACCATAGTCCACACAGGTGTGCCACCATGGGCTCCAGTCTTTTCTGCTGTGTGGTTGTTTGTCTCCTCAGAGTAGATGAGTCTGGGCCAGTGAGAGAAAATCCCTGATCTTCACTTGCCAGGACCCAGTTTGAAAGCTTTTCCTCATGGTTTAATGTTAATCTCCTTGCTTCTGTCTCCTATCACAGATTTCACAGACAGCAAAGTTACCCAAATCCCCAAATATCTGGTTGCAGTGGCCAGGCAGCCTGTGGTACTGAGATGTAAGCAGGATCAGAAAGAAGACAATATGTATTGGTACCAACAGGAAATGGGGCAAGAACCAAAGTTAATGTTATTCTATCATAACAGGTATACAGCATGGATAAACAACACTTCTGACAACTTCCATGGCAGTCGACCAAGTAATTCCCTCTATTACCTTGACATCACATCTGCAGGTTTGGGGGACTCAGCTACATATATCTGTGCCTGTGGTAAGCATAACACGACACTGTGGAATCACGTCTTCTCTTGGCACAGAGCCTCTGCATCCCCGACAACCAATTTTTACTCTTAGGGACTTTTTATGTAGCTTTTAAGAAGTTCAACCTATCTCCAGGGCAAGTTTGTGGCTGCAGCTGCTAGAGAGAGAGAGAGAGAAAGAGAGAGAGAGAGAGAGAGAGAGAAAGAGATAATGGACATTAATCCCTTAAACCCTTAATGAATTGGCATGAGCACAATCGGCACATAGTAAGTATTTAATATATGATTATTCCCTCCCTGCAAAGAAGAGTTTTTTCCTAAGGATAGAGAAGACATGGTCTCATTAGTAGGCAGCAAGGACAAAACCAGTAGGTGGGAAAGACTGAGATTAGAAAGAGAAAGAGGTGCGGGGGAGATTGAGGAGGCAATTCCGTGTAGTAGATGGAAGGGGATAACATCATGTTCTGTTCAATTATTAGAGCCTGAGTTTATAGTTTCTAACTAGTTTAGAGTTTAGAGTTCCAATTCTATTTCCCTTCTGGTAAACGGCATGAGCCATTTCTAAGGGAGTCCCCAGTCTCTACAAATGAATTCTTAATTAATTTGAATCCGATTACTATAGCATGGATCTATTAAACACAGATTTCTTCAGATCTTAAGAAACAATTGAACTGTCAATACAAGTTTCCAAAGTTTTTGTAACAGAATATTTTCAGAATATGTTTTCTGCCTTGAATGAAGGCAAACATCTCTCTCTTTGGTCAGGGAAACTTTCATTTATGATGTTTCTGAGCTAGAGGACTTTCCATGTTTTTGTTTTTTAAACTCCATTCTGTGCATTTGAATTCTTACCAAGAACAGCTTAAGTTTTGTTGTTGTTTTAACCTGTAGTTATAAAGCATTCTCTGAGCCTTCCTTTTCCACATTTTTATTGGGCCTGCATTGTGATAAAGGAAATTTCCAATAAGAAAACTTTTTGCCAATTCAAATTAGCACCTGTCATGCATTTCATAGTTGTAGGGGATTGTTTGGGGACACCAAAAGGTGAAATACCTTGTGAAGGGCCAGACAGGTATCATGTGTCAGAGGCTAGATTTGAACCCAAAGCTTCCTGACTCCCAGGACTGGCTCTCTAGTCACTAAACCACCCGGCCTTTCTTCTTCCCCCCTGTAGCCAAGAAAATGTATTTTGTTTTTGGCTTTCCCTGACAGCCTCCGCTTATCTTGAGTTTCAGTGACATTACTCTGTACAAGGCCCAAAGATTTCCCCATTACTCTAAAGTAGGTTATTTCTTCAGGAAGCTTCAGTCTTTGTAAATTATTAAGAAAAGAGGTATGGAACCTCTCCTCACTCCTTTGCCCAAGAGTGTGTTTTTGGGGATTGGTGGAGTAAAACATTGTATATAATGTCACATTTTTGCATGTGTTTTGCCTGTTCAGTTTTACTGAACTTTTTTCCTTCTTTCTCTTTTTATTTTTGTTTTCAAAAGAAAATTCTTCATTGTAAGGGAAGGCTGTCTGGGAGCAGGAAGGAAAGAAAAATAGAGGGAAATTTTAGCTGTCAATAGATACTCACAATAGGCTTTGCATATTGTCCTGAGTATTTGTAAGCAGCTAAGTGGCACAGTGGATAGGGTGCCAAGCCTGGAGTCAGGAAGACTCATTTTCCTGAGTTCAAATCCAGCCTCAGACTCTTTCTAGCTTTGTGACCCTGGGCAAGTCACTTAACTGTGTTTGCCTCAGTTTCCTCATCTGTAAAATGAGCTAGAGAAGGAAATGGCAAACCATTCCAATATTTTTGTTAAGAAGACGCCAAACAGGTTCATGAAGAGTCAGACACAACTAAACAACAACAAGAAATTTGTACAAAAAATGAAATGAGTTATCCAGATATAAAGTCAGCCATGAAACACATCTTTGTTCAAAGATCTTAAACTAGAAGGGACCTCAGAAGGATAGAAGGAAACATATATTAATTAAATACTCACTAGTGCCAGGCATCTTCAAATACAAGCAAAGGAAAACTCACCCCTGACCTCAAAGAGCTTATGTTCTAATGGAGAAAAACAATACACAAAAGGGAGCTGAGAAGTGGGGGGAGGGATGAGGGATGGTTTATCTAGAAGCCAGCAACAGGGCTCAAAGAAGAAGGAAGACTACACAAATTCCTCCACAAAATGAAGGCTTAAGAAGGAACCTATTGGAGGCTTTATTAAGTAGACCTCAGATTTCACTCAGTCCAATGCCTCATTTTGCAGATGAGGAAACTAAAGCCTAGGAAAGCTAAGTGACTTGTCCAAGGTCACTTAGAGAGTAAACATTACAGGCAGGATTTGAATCCAGGTCCTCTGATCCCAGGGGCAGTACTCTATACGGTATGATGCTATCTCTGACTTGTTGTTTGCTGAGTCTGTTCAATAAATGCATCCACATACATCCATGGCTGATTGAGGGGACTGCTCCCATTCATATCTTGAATGTTTCACCCTTGTTCTGAGTAGTAAGCAAATCCCTCCCTGTGTACTGAGGTGGAGAAAGACCTTAAGTGTCTCTCAGCAGACAAGCCACACCTAATGTGCAGGAGGAACTCAAGAGCCCTGAGTCCCACAGGTGCTCTACCCTAAAAAACCAGAAACCTGCCCTTCAGAGATGTCTCACTCCTGCCCTGATGCCATCATGGAAACCAGACTTCTCAGCTGTGTGGCCATTTGTTTCTTGGGGGCAGGTGAGTGCTCAGCCCAGAAGAACAGGTCAGGCCTGCGTTTTGAACCTTCCTCTTTTGGCTGCAACATCAGATTCCCTTTTACACTCAGTCTCCTAGCTTCTCTTTCTTCCCCTCACAGGTTTGACAGATGGCATCGTTCTCCAGACCCCAAGATACTTGGTCACAGGCACAGGACAAGCAGTGGCACTGAGGTGTGACCAGGACCAGAATTATGATTATATGTACTGGTATCAACAAAAACTAGGACAGGAGCCAAAGCAACTTCTCTATTACTATAAGTTGTCAGATGCTACCAAAGAAAAGGGCATCTCTGATAACTTCCAAGCCAACCGGTCAAACATGAACCTCTTTTACCTTAAAATCAGTGCCCTGAGTTTGGGCGACTCAGCTATATACCTCTGTGCTATCAGCATACACAGTGCTGTAGAGTCACCTCCTCTCTGGGCATAAACTCCACTCTTAATCCATGCCCAACAACCCAGTGTAAGGAGCCTTCTCTATGCTGCTTGGATAGGAAGTTGGTTTGTGGTTACCGTAGCCCCTTTTGTAGAAAGAAGTTGGGCATTAACCCCTAAAAGCATGGATGAGTCATTCAGAGGATATTTAATAGAGGACCAGGCATTGAGTCAAAAGTGACTCTTGGTGAGGTCAGTTTAAGCTCTGGTATCCATGAGTATAGTGATTGAGAATTGCTGTAGGTCTGAGCTAGGCAGCTAGGTGGTGCAATGGATAGAGTGCCAGGCCAGGAGTCAGGAAAACTGGTCTTCCTGAGTTCAAATCTAGCCTCAGACACTTACTAGCTCTGTGACCCTGGGCAAATGACTTAACCCTTTTCTCCCCAGTGTCCTCATTTGTAAAATGAGCTGGAGAAGGAAATGGCAAACCACTCCAGCATCTTTGTCAAAAGCAAAACAAAACAAAACAACAACAACAACAAACAACAAAAAAAGACAACACAAATGGGATCAGGAAGAGTCAGACATGACTGAAAAACAACTGGACAAGTTGGGTAGACAGGGAAGATTTGGCAAAAGTGCCACGGGATGGTCAGAGTATGATATAAACCAAGCAAAACAGGAGGGCAGAGTTTGTGAATCTCCGAACTACAAAACACCAGAGACAAAAGAGCCCTACCAGATCATAAGATCATAGATTTAGAACTGTGTAGGACCTTAAATGTCATCCACCTATTGCCAACAGTTTCATTTACAAATGTGAGTAATGGAAGCCCCAGAAGATACTAAAATGTCTAAGATCACAAATAAGCTGTTTAGTGGCAGGACTACGGTGAGGACCTACATGTTCCTATTTCCAATGCAGAGGGACCTTTCCATTCAACCCATTTGGAGAAAAGAGTTAAAAAGATGGAGTGGGGCGGGGACTAAAGATGAGGGAAGCAGAGTTGTAGTTTATCTCTGCAAAGAAAGCCAGGGAAGAGAAATGGATACCTTAGAGGCAGAACACGTAGGAAAATATTTCTCAGTTAAGCCATTTCAGGCAACTGTAGGAAGAGCCCTCTCTCTCTTGTACAATGTACTGTACACAGAGTTATAAGGAATATGGAGAAGGGAAGGGCAAGGAAATAAAGGTCAGGAAAGGAAGACTAGTATAGAGATGGAGAGGCAGGTTGTGACCAAATTTGAGAGCAAATAATTGCCTGTTAAGTTTAAAGTTTATTCTCCTAGGCACTGGAAAGCTACTAAAATATTTATTAGCAAAGAAAAGGAGAGGGGTGTGCCTCTGGGAAAGGAACATTTCAGACAAGATGAGAAGGAATCAAACCCATGATACCAGTCTATTTCCCTACCAAACACAAGTACCAGTAAGAGTCCTTATAATTTGTGTTTTAACTGGTAAAGTATCTCTCCTCCATTTTTCTCTGAGATACAAAGCATCTCAATGGACATGGCAGTCTGTAGGAAGTGTCATGTCACAGAGAGACACAACCAATCGCAGACTAGGAAGCCTCAGATAATAGCTATATTCCAGAGACTGGCAGATGCTTCACTCCTGTCTTGTCACCACTATGGATACCATGCTCTTCTGGTGTGTGGCCATTTGTCTCCTGGGGGTAGGTGAGTCTTGGGCACAACTGGGAAATTCTTGTCTTGGACTTGCCAAACTTGGCTTCAAGGTGAAGTCTACAACTTACCCCTTACTCCACAGATACTGGAGTCTTCCAGACCCCAAGAAGCCTGCTCACAGAGAGGAAAAAAAATGTGGTGCTGAAATGTCACCCAATCCAAGGACATAACTACGTTTACTGGTATCAACAGCTCCCAGGACAAGAATTGACATTGCTGGAATATCGTGACAAAAACCAAGTCATTCATAGTTCAGGAATGTCCAAACCCCTCTTCTCTGTTGAGTGGACCAGTGGCTCACCGTGCAGCCTGAAAATCCAACCTGTGGAATTAGAGGATTCAGCCCTATATTTCTGTGCCAGCAGCTTAACCACAGTGCTGCAAACTAATCCCTCTCTATGCATAAATCTTCCCCAGCTCAGGAAACAGAAAACCATGGACTGGGTATGTGGATGGGGATGAATCATTAAGAAAAAATTCTAGGTATCTAAACTAATCTTGGGCTACTGGGTCCTGGGGGAGACAGAGTGGGAAGTTGAGGAAATGGGAAGGTTTGGGATTCAGTAGAGTGTTAGGCACTTAGTATTAGTGTTAGTGGGACAGCTAGGTGGTGAAGTGGGTAGAGTATTGAGCCTGGAGTCAGGAAGAGTCATCTTCCTGAGTTCAAATCTGGCCTCAGAAACTTACTAGCTGTGTGACTCTGGACAAGTCACTTGACCCTGTTTACCTCAGTTTCCTCATCTATAAAATAAGCTGGAAAAGGTAAACAACTCCAATGTCTTTGCCAAGAAAACCTGATACAAGGTCATGAAGAGTTGAACATGACTAATTGCCTAAACACCACCACCACCAATAACAATTATTATGATAAGGGAATCAATACTGCGGTTCAAATAAAAATGGATGCTTACTACACGTGACCTTGAAGTCCTTTAGACTCTCTGAGATGTGGTTTCCATTCTGTAAAATAAGGGGGTTCAGCTACATGACCTTTGTGGTCTGTTTAACTATAAGAGCCATCTGCAAGCAACAGGACAGAGCAGTACCAGTGATGATGACTGTAATTAGCAGGTGTGCACCAAGGATTGCACACTTTTTACATTGATGGAGAAAGCCCCAGATATTTTCACCCTCAAATGCCTGAAAGCATGGCATCCAAGAAAGCAGATGCTTCTCTTTTGCTTCTGTTGACCATTGTGAAGGGCTCCTCCTTGCCCTCCCCCCATAATTCTGAGTTGGGGGCGCAAAACACAGAGCTAGCTCCCTGGCTCAATCCCTTCAGTGACTTAGTTTCTATCTCCACATGGGGGCAGTAAAACATTTCTAAATGAATTGTCTCCCTCTATCAAAACCCTTATATTTCCGTTTTTTACAGCTCATGTACTATTAAGAGCTAGAAGAAACATCAGAGACCATCTAGTACAACTTTTTAATTTTATAGATGAGGAAATTGAAGCCTTGAGATGTAGTGACCACAGCCCCCTTGCTTCCAAATAGTCTTTTCTATTCTATTCAAGATGGGCATTTTGTGTATCTCATTCTCACCACCAGAGTCTGGCTGCTCAATCATTTCTCTTGCGCAAGCCATCCCGCCTTCTGTGGAGTACAAAACATTTTGATTTCAGCTGAAGTCTACTTCCTCCAAGCTTAGTCTTCAATAAAGATACCTCTTTGTTAGGCAGATTCTCCTGAACTGTTTGCTAACAAGTAAAGAAAGGCAAGAGATTCTTTACTATTCTTCCTCCTAATTCTACCTATGGGACTAGCATTGCCTTGAGTTCTGGAATTTCATATAATATCTCAATCAATCAATCAATGAGCATTTGTGGCAATCACTATGCTAAGTGCTGGGGATAAAAATACAAGAATGATATATATGAATGCAAAGATCTTACCTATGATCAGGAGAGACAAACTAAATTAACACAAGGTCATTACAGAAAGGGCACTAAGTAACTTGGGGGAATCAGCTGAAAACTTTAGGGGCATATGACAACTGTCTTTAAGTATTTGAAAAGACATCCTATAGAAGGATTATATGTGCATTTGCTTGCCATAGAAAGGAGGAGTAATGGATGGAAATTGAAGAGATGCAAATCAATTGCCCAGAGAACTGGGTGTGGAAAAGGCATGCTTCAAATACTCTTACAAATTGTGTGACACTGGCAAAGGTAACTTTCTCACTCTGGGCCTGAGTTTCCTCCCCTATAAAAGGGGTGGTGGTGGTGGTAGTCTTGGATTAGGTTATCTTGGAGGTATCTTTAGGGTTTAAATCCTTTGATCTCCTTGAGTGTGCTCCTAACACTGTTGGTTATGGCAGAAAGGCAGAGATTGGAGGCATACCCAGAAGCTTTCTCTCCTGTAAGTAAATATGTGATGATGACGAAGGAGGACAGCAACAACAATGACAAAATAAATAAATGAAAAGTGATTTAGAAAAGCAATATCAGCAGAATCAATCAGGAAGAGTCAGGCACTGTGCTAAGCACTGGACAGGCTCTCAAAGCAGACAGAATGAGTTGAGCCTTGATGAAGTGCTTCTGACTCTTTACATATTCATACGCTCACAGATCCCAGAGGCTGATACCATTTGGGTTTGCAGAGGGACTGAAGTTTCCCTACCTTGTTCCATAAAGTACGTATGCTCTTCTCTGGAGGTGTTTATAAGATGGTGGGTGTTGACAGAGATAGTGACATCAAAGATAGGTCATGCCTATTGAGACCAGGTGATCTCAGATCGCTACCTCCAGATACCACAGCCTTGAGCTGGTGAGATGATCCGTTCCTACCTTGTGTCTGACATGGACATCAGATTCCTTCACTGGTTTTCCATTTTTCTACTAGGAGAAGGTAAGGTATGAGGCCACTGGAAATCCTATGCTTAGGCTTTCTGCTGGCTCTCCTTTCCCTGCCTCAATGCTTCTATCTCTTTTTCACACAGGGTTTTCAGATGTTGAAGTCATCCAGGTCCCGAAACAGCTTATCACAGAAACCAGAAGGACAGTGACACTGACGTGTGACCCCATTTCTGGACACGTTAGCCTTTACTGGTACCGACAGATGAAAGGGGAGAGAATAGAGTTGCTGGTATACTTCCAGAACAATCGGCTTGTTGATGACACTGGATTGCCAAAAGATCGGTTCTTCATTGACTGGCCTGAAAAATCATCATCAACCGTGAAGATCCAAACCACAGAGTTCAAGGACTCTGCTGTCTATCTCTGTGCTAGCAGTCCAACCACAGCACTGCATAGTCACCTCCTCTCTGTACACAAATCCACTTTCTTTTCCCTCCATGCTCTTTCCCTAGCTTTGGGCAGGGCACCTCCCAGTTCCACCCTCCCTGGGGGAGGAAGTGGGGTTGTAGCTTCACCTGTCCCCTCAGCCTCTTGCAGAGGGAGGTAGAGCATTAACTCTTAAAGAGTTTCCTCATCTGTAAAATGTGGTGGACTGTTTGTTACATGGCAACCGAGGTGCCTACTGACTCTAAATCTCTGATCCCATGAAGCCTTTGTATCTTCCTCCACAAAAGGGACACTAAGCTCTTAGGTGTTGAGGTTGTGAGTTACTCTGTGAAGGGTGGCACAGCTAACTCCCAATACTTATTAACCCCCAAAGGCTTAGGCCTTTTTATTTGTAATTAGGATTTAAGAACATCCCCTCCTGTATCCTCTCCCTCTCCACCCCTCCGCCTCTCTCCCAACCTCTTTACACAAAGTTATTCATGACACATTCTTAGGTCAGTCTTCTACAGGCTACTAAATAAATGTCCATCACCACATCCAGAGCCATAATTAGGGAGGGGTGACTCTTTCTCTGACCTGGTAAGGGATATTTAGAAGATGCCTGACAACATTGCCCATGGCTTTGCCATCTAGTCTATCCATGTCGTTGGCAACACAAGAACTCATTCCTCTTTAGCAGTTAAGCAACCTGGTTAGGTTTCATCCTCCTCATGGCCAAACCCCAGTTAAGCCTACAACCTCCTCCAACTCCTCTCACAGCCACTGCTATTTGCCCTAAATGCAATAAAAGTTCTGACTAAGGATTATTAACTAGGATTATTCAAATAACAAATGATAATTTAATGCTTGCTATGAACAAGGGACTCTGCTGGGTATTCAAATGCCGCAAATGACAAGAGTAGGAATAATGGAAGATAGAAAGGCAGCTGGGGAGCACAGTGGATAGAGTATTGGACCTAGTGTCAGGAAGACCTGAGTTCAAATCTAGTCTCAGACACTGACTGGCTATGTAACTCTGGGCAAGTCACTTAGCCTGTATCTGACTCAGTTTCCTTACTTGTAAAATGAGGATCATGACAGCATCTACCACCCAGAGTTGCTGTGTTGATAAAATAACAGTATTTGTAAAGTACTTTGCAAACCTTAGAGTGCCATATAAGTGCTAGCATAAAATGAATCCAAATTCTCTCTCTCTCTCTCTTAAGCTAGGAAGAGCTCTCTAACAGAGGTACCTATTATCTCCTGCACATGGGGACATTATGATAATAAATACTTACATTGTAAACTGATTACACTGATTGTGTTTATGCAATCAATAAACACTTACACTTGCACTGGGAATAGACCAAAAAAAAAAAAACAAACCAGCTTCTGTCCTCAAGGACCTTATATTATAAAAATGTGAAAAAGCATGAGATTTATTTTGAACTTTATGGTAACAAAAAGATTCATAAATACTATGTGTCATTAGATTGCCAAAACAATTCAATGAGATATGTAGTATTAAAAGAAGGGAAAGTGATTCTGGATTTGTGGAGAAAACACTGACCTTCCTGACCCTCCATAGCTGCAAACAGGGGAAGAGTTGGTACCAGCTGAGTTGTAACAGCAATGCTAAGTGAAGTGATGCAGAATTCCAGCAGAGGGCAGAAGAGAGCTTCTTTAGCGTTTTATGGAATCCACCCAGACAAAAAGATCTGGCATTTCATCTGACCCTCAGTCTCTCCTTTGAGGAAAGAGTGCAGTCAGTTCCAGAAGATGCTGAGTCTTCTATTGCTTCTAGTACCTAGTATGTGCCAGAAGTCCTGGGGAGTTGGGGAAGAACTCATGATGGCATAAAGCATATGCTCTGTATGAGAGAGAGAGTATTGAGGAGGGGGATTGTGTGGTAAGGGAGATTTGGCTAGCCTGGCTAACAACAAGAGAGATAAATGGGGACTGAGGGATAATAGAGAAGAGAAAAGGATAGTGAAGAGAAAAAAATTCCATCAGGGATATTTGTCTGACTGCTAGCTTAGCTGCTCCCACTAATTGATGTTGTTCTTCACCTCTACAGGTTCTGGGCTTGGGGCTCTCATCTCTCAGCAGCCAAGGAGAGCTATCTGGAAGAAAGGGTCTTCTGCACTAATCCTCTGTTATCAAATTGATAGCCAATTAACCTTCATGTACTGGTATCGTCAGCTTCCGCAACAGAGCTTGGTACTGATGGCTGCTGCGAATATGGGCACCCCAGGCAACTATGAGAAGGGTTTTGATGAGGCCAAGTTCCCCATTAGACGTCCAGATACAAAATTCTCTACTCTGAAAGTAATTGATTTGGATCCCAAAGACAGTGGCATTTATTTCTGTAGCGCCAGTGACACAGAATGTGACTTGAATCAGAGACTAGAACAAGAACCGTTGCTCTTTCTCTTCCCACAGGTGGCCTATCTGGGGGCCCTGAAGAAGGCAGCAAACTGCAGTTTTGGCTGAGATAACAGAGTATACTGGATAATTAGCAGATGAGATGGGGGTAGGAGATCTTAAATCATCTAATGAAAAGAGAAACAGGTAAGATAACATCTTGCAAAAAACTCTTGGGAAGACCACAAAGGACTCCTAGGGATCTGACATAAATATACCTTCCAGGAGAACACTAAGAAACAAACGCTCTACAATTCCTAAAGAAATAAATGGTAAAAAGATATGAACAATTTCCAAAAGAATAATTGAAACCTAACAGGAACTTTATGAAATATTTTACTAAATCTATAATAATAAAATTAATGCAAAATTAAACAACTCTGAGATTCTATCTCATGCTCAGCAAATGAGCAAAGAGGATAAAAGACAGACTAGTGTTAGAGGGGCTATAAGAATACAGATGCATGAATGTTGGTTGAGCTGTAAATTAGTCCATCTTTTCTAGAAAATAATTTTGTGAGAAAAGTTGAGAAAGTCTTCATATACTCTGACTTAGAGATCCACTACGGTATACATACTCCCAAGGAAGACAAAGACAGAGCTGACAGTTTTATATATATATATATATATATTTAAATATTCACAGAAGAACATGTATTAGCACAAAAACCTGAAGCCAAGTGATTATCCCTCAGCCAGGAAATGGCTAATGGAATATTATCGCAGCATAAGAAACTGAAGAATTCCAAGAAATACAGGAACACTTAGACGAGCTGATAAATAGTGAAGTAAACAGAACCAGGAAAATAATATAGAGACTAAAATAATGTAAACGAAAAGAGCACTAAGATGAAGTTGGCTCTGAGTAATTATAATGATCAATGTTGGCCCTGATGTACAAATAAGGAAAGACATTTTAAGAGATTTAGGGGGACTCTAGGTACAGAATGGTATATACATGGTCATGAGTCATCTCACTGTTAGTTGGTTTTGGTGGACTTTTGCTGTTCCTGATTTTACACAAGGCATGGGCTTTCTAGGTGTGTGTGTATAAAGGGAGAACATCTCTATCTACCCTACTTGGCTGTGATAGATGGTTATCTTGGACAGAGTAGAGGATTAAAAAAAAAACAATGCTGAAGGTACTCAGGAAAAAGGGGGTTGTATGAGGGATTGAGATCATAGATAAGATAGGAAGGTCTATCTTAGACATAAGAAGAACTGAGAGTACAGGTAGAATGGTTAGCTTTCTCATCCTATGAAAATGGAAGAAAGGAGGATGATATACGTGAGGGATTAAGAAAATAAAAGAGATTAAGGCAATCCAGACCAAATGGTCTTAATCTCAGTAAAATAGAAAGTGAGTTAATCTTCTAAGAATGAAGGCTAGGAGTGGATAGAGCTGAGGCTTGAATAAAAAATTTAGAGGAGCAGTCTTTTTTTTTTTAAAGAGTTTTGACATTTTTCTTTAGTCAATAAATATTTATTATGTGCCCACTATGTGCCAGGCACTTTGCTAATCCCTGGGAATACAAAGATAAGGGGGGACAAACAATTCTTCACTTCAAGGACTTCACAGCCTAATGAGGGGAGACAACATGAAAACATCTATATACCAACAATAAATAAATAAATGGAATAAATGGGAGATAATCACAGAGATAAGAAAGAATCAGGTAAGGCTTTTTCTAGAACGCTGGTTTTAATTGCTACTTGAAGGAAGCAAGGAGGTGGAAGTAAGGAGGAAGAATATTCCAGGCAAAAGGGACAGCGAGTGAAAATGCAAGGAGTTGGGAAATTGGAGTGTCTTCCATGAAAAATAGCAAGGAGGCCAGTGGCAAGTCAAATCAAGGCATTTATGAAGTGCCTGTATGTGCTGGTCACACTACTGAGCAATGGATGGCAGAGCATGTGAAGGGGAGTAAGGTGTAAGAATCCTGGAAAGAGGGAAATGGATCAGTTTCTAAAGGGCTTTAAAAACCAAATAGAGGAGTTTATATTCAATGTTGGAGGTAATAGAGAGCCGATGGAGTTTATTGAATGAGCAGATGACATGCTTAGAACTGTGCTTTAAGAAGATTGCTTTGATAGCTGAGTGGTCGATGGATTGTAGCTCAGAGAGATTTAAGGCTAGGAGACCAATCAAAAGGCTACTGCAATTCAGATATGAGGTGATAAGGGCCTGCAGGAGACTAGAAGCAGTGTCAGATGAGAGAAGGAGAGCACAAGGGAGAGATGTTGCAAAAGGTAAAATCAACCAGCCTGGGGAGGAGCAGTCTTGAGGAATGTAATGGAAAATCAATGAAATTAATAGAAAGATATTCACAAAGCAATGCAGATCGAGATAGCATAAATGTGTAGTGCACTCAGGAAGCAATACTTCTGCCAACAGAGGTTGGCCAGAATGAGGAGCAGAGGAAAGAGGTTTGTAGGAGCCAGGGTTAAAGGTTAGCAAAACAGAGATAACAGAAGGGTAGGGGTAAAGGGGATTCAAGGATGGTGGAAAGTAAATTATAGAGATAATTGATTGTAAAGCAAGATTGGACAAGGAGGAAAGTGAGGCAAGAAAGGAATAATTAGAGAATTAGAAGAAATCAGGAAGCCAAAAGTCCCCCCATGGTATATCCATAGTTTCTATTTCCACAACCACTTCTTCCTTGCTCAATTACAATCAGGTCCAGAATAACTTTTGCCCTTGTTGCTTTCTCAACTTTTTAAAGGATGAAATTATCATGAAGATAAACCAAGACTGGTTTGTGGGACTGCTTTTGGTAAACAGAAAGTTCCAGTAAAAGCTTGAATAGATTATGTCTCCATTCCTGTCTGGTGATCTATGTCTTGGGCACTCATTAAATTCCTTCTTATGTCTAGATAGTCTGTAATATATACCCAAAGCAATATTACTTGCATTTTTGCCTCCATTGATCTTCACCTGAATGCTTTCCACCATGCTTTCTCCCTCCAGCCTATAGTACCTGGATTTCCTCATGTGAGTTCTTTCTAAGATGCAGTGCTATAGTCTTACCATGGAGGACTTCTACTTGGGGTGGGAGCATGGAGGTAGGAGAATAGGTAGTGATAGACATGAAAAAAAGCATCAATAAATCATTTTTAATACTTAGAAGAAAAACATATCTTAATAGACAAAAAATGACTTCGTAGGTATGACATGTGATGGGATGAGACGCATAACTAGTTTGTGACTGGAAGGATATATTTGATTCAAAGGGAATATAGTAACATTGCATCTTTTTTTTTATTTTTAGAGAAACATATGTCTAACAAAGTAGCAAAACAACTCTATTTAGATAACTCTTCTGGTTTCCAACTTCCCATGAAGTGGGGTTGGAGCAAGGGTAAGTCTAATGACTCTGCCATATTGGCCACTAGGAGGTACTATGCCTTTACTCAACTCCAGGATGCTATGAAGAGGAACAGGAAAATTATACCGGCTCTGCTCTAAGCAAAAGCCAGACTTCTCTCAACTGGACCTTGTATTCATATGGCTGCATTCAACTACTCAAATAAATAGAAAGATCCCTGAGAACTTTATACAAACAGTTCTCTGCTTTGTAAGCAAGAATCAATGTCTACAACTGGTTCTCCAATCAGATCTAAATTGATTTGGGAGCCAGTGAATAATTAAAAGTGATCATAGTAGATCTTTTATTTGGTAAATCTTCCACTTCCTAAGATCATATACATTTGTTTTGGTAAAAAATGAGGAATTTGGAGAAACATGCAATGATTTTTACAAATTGATACAGAGCAAAAGTAAGCAGAACAAAAATAATATTATGCACAATGACTACCAAAATATACATGAAATAATCACTAAAAGGATTTTGATCTCTTGGTAATTGAAAATCCAATAAAGATATCAGAAATACTGAAATGTCCCCTTTCCATGCACAAACCTTTCGTGCCCCCACACAAGAGAAATCTAAAGGTGAGATGGGCCACAGGGCTGTAAGACTCAGCTTAGGTTCAGGAACCTGGAGACCCCAGAAATTTTCACTGAAGACAATATTCAGTGTTTTAGGCCACATCCCACTTGTATTACATTTTATAACCATACATTCCATACCCCTATAACAATAATGGTTATTGGGCACATTCAACGTCTGCTCTTCTCTATCCTAAATATTCCTAGTCCTTTCTTTCAACTGAATTAAATTTCTAAAATATTATACAGAACTGAATAGAGTATTCTAGTTATGTCTGGGTCACCACAGAATTCATTAAGCTTATCACCTCCCTAAACCTAGACAACTTATTTCTCTTGGACCACAACCAGCTTTTTTAGCTGCTATAAAATATTGCTTGCAGTTTACTAAAATTCCCAGGTCTTTTTTACTTGAACTGTTCCATGTTCTCCATTTTAGCCACTGCAGTTTTTTTTTTCACGGCAGAGTTCTTGGATTACACTTATGACATTAAATTTCATTTTATCAGTTGCAGCCCAATATTCTAACCATTCAGAATTTTTTTGAACCTTGGCTCTGTCTTGCAATGTACCAGCTACCCCTCTTAGCTTTGTGTCCTCTAACCACTTGATAAAAAGTTCATCTATATCTTTATCCAAGTCATTGATGAAAAATGTCAAAAAAATAATTAGGAATTATTTTGCCCAAGTATATGCCAATAAATTTGACAACCTTAGTGAAATGGATATTTACAAAAATATAAATTGCCCAGATTAACAGAAGATTAAGTAAAATACTTAAATAATGCCATCACAGAAAAAGAAACTGAACAAGGCATCAATGAACTCCCTAGGAAAAAATCTCCAGGGCCAGATGGATTTACAAGCAAATTCTATCAAACATTTAAGGAACAATTAATTCCAATACTATATAGACTATTTGGGAAAAAAAGGAGAAGAAGTAGTCTTACCAAATTCTTTTTATGATGCAAATATGGTGCTGATACCTAAACTGGGAAAAGTCAAAATAGAGAAAGAAAATTATAGACCAATTTCCCTAATGAATATAGATGCAAAAATTGTAAATAAAATGTTGTCAAAAAGATTACATTATTATTATTATTATATTATTATATTATATTACACCAGGGAGCATAAGAATGAATGAAGTCTTCCTTAAAATGATAAGTAACATCTACCTAAAACCTTCAGCAAGCATCAAATGTAATGGGGATAAGCTAGAAGTATTTCCAATAAGATCAGGGGTGAAACAAGGATGTCCACTATCACCACTGTTGTTCAATATCATACTGGAAACATTAGCTTCAGCAATAAGAGGAGAAAAAGAAATTGTAGAAATTAGAACAGGCAAAGAAGAAACAAAACTATCACTCTTTGCAGATGATATGATGATATGCTTAAAGAATCCTAGAGAATCAAGTAAAAACCTACTTGAAATAATAAACAACTTGAGCAAAATTACAGGATATAAAATAAACCCATGTAAATCATCAGCCTTTCTATATATTATTAACAAAGCCCAACAGCAAGAAATAGAAAGAGAAATTCCATTTAAAGTTGCTGTAGACATTATAAAATATTTAGAGTCTACCTGCCAAAACAAACCCAGGAACTATATGAACACAGTTACAAAATACTTATCACATAAATAAAGTCAGACCTAAAAAATGGGAAAAACATCAGTTGCTCATGGGTAGGTTGAGCTAATATAATAAAAACAACAATTCTACCTAAATTAATTTACTTATTCAGTGCCATACCAATCAAACTACCAAAAATTATTTTATAGAGCTAGAAAAATAATAACAAGATTCATCTGGAAGAACAAAAGTTCTGGAATATCAAGGGAATTAATGAAAAGAAATGCTAGGGAAAGTGGCCTAGCCATACCAGATCTTCAATTGTATTATAAAGCAGCAATAATCAAAACTGCTTGGTACTAGCTAAGAAATAGAGTGATGGATCAGTGGAATAAGTTAGGTACACAAGATGAAGTAGTCAATGACTATAGTAATCTATTGTTTGATAAACCCAAAGACCCCAGCTTCTGGGATAAGAACTCACTCTTTGACAAAAACTTCTGGGAAAACTGGAAAAAAGTATGGCAGAAACTAGGCATAGACCAACATCTTAAACCCTATACCAAGATAAAGTCAAAATGGGTACAAGATTTAGATATAAAGGTTGATACTATAAGCAAACTGGGAGAGCAAGGAATAGTTTACCTGATCTATGGTGAAGGAAGAATTTATGAACAAACAAGAGATAGAGAACATTAAGAAATGCAAAATGGATAATTTTGATTACAGTAATTTGAAAATATTTTGCACAAAGCCAATGTAACCAAGATTAGGATGGAAGCAGAAAACTGGGAAAGAATTTTTATAACTAGTATCTCTGCTAAAGGCCTCATTTCTAAAATATATAGAGAACTAAGTCAAATTTATAAGAATATAAGTCATTCCCCAAATGATAAATAGTCAAAGGATATGAATAGGTAGTTTTCAGATGAAGAAATTAAAGCTATCTATAGTCATATGAAAAATGGTCTTAATCACTATTGATTAGAGAAATTAAAATCAAAACAACTCTGAGGTACCACATCACACTATCAGATTGGCTAACATAACAAAATAGGAAAATAATATACGTTGGAAAAGATGTGGGAAAATTGGGACACTAATGCATTGTTGGTGGAATTGTGAACTGATCCAACCATTCTGGAGAGCAATTTGGAACTAGGCACAAATGGCAACTACCTTTTGACGCAGCAATAGAACTTCTAGGACTGTTTCCCAAAGAGATCATACAAATGGGAAAAGGACCCACATGTACAAAAATATTTATAGCAGCTCTTTCTGTGGTGGCAAAGAATTGGAAATTGAGGGGAATCATTTGAGGAATGACTGAACAAGTTGTGGTATATGAATGTAATGTAATATTATTGTGCTATAAGAAATGATGAGCAAATGGACCAGAAAAACATGGAAAGATTTATATGGATTGATTTTGAGTGAAATGAGCAGAACCAGGAGAACGTTGTACACAGTAATAGCCACATTGTGTGATGACTAACTTTGATAGACTTAGCTCTTCTCAGTAATGCAAGGATCTAAGACATCTCCAAAGGCCTCATGATGGAAAATGCTATCCATATCCAGAGAAAGAGCTGTGGAGTTGGAATGAGATCGAAGCATACTATTTGCTCTTTTTTTTTTCCTCTTGTAGTTTGTTTTGTTTCTTCTTTCTTGTGGTTCCTCCCATTGGTTCTAATTCTTCTTTACAACATGACTAATATGAAAATATGTTTAATAGGAAGGTATATATAGAGCCTATATCAGATTGCATGCCGTCTTGGGGAGGGAGGTAGAGAAAATTTAAAACTCAAAAGCTTATGAAAGTGAATGTTGACCACTAAAAATAAATTATTTAAAAAGGAAAAAATAAAGTTATTAGAGACATGATAAAAAAAAAAAGAAAAATGTTAAAAAGCACAGACCCAAGCACAGAGTCCTGAGGCATGTGAACAGAGACCTCTCTCAGCCTCAGTTTTCCCTTCTGTAAAATGGGGATCATGGTGAAATCAGCTACCTCACAAAGTTATTATGAGGACCAAATGAAATAACAGGTGATGTAATTTGCAAACTGTAAAGTAATGTATAGATACTAGCTATTATAGAATGGTAAAGTTCTTTGCCAGATACAGTGGCAGGACAAGGTAAGAAAGACTTTCCTAGCATGCATCGTGGCTTCTATATCACCTTGACAAATCCCAGCACAAGGAATCCTCTCTAATCTATCAGTTATTAATAGTTCAACATCCATTTATGAGGAGGTCTCTATTGGAATTCCCTGGGGCTCTATTCTTGGGTCTGTGTTTTTTGACATTTTCACCAATGACTTAGATGAAGATATAGATGGCATTCGTATCAGTCGTCATTATATACTCATAAAGTGGGAGTGAGTTGAGTTGGAGATGGTGGAACCTACAGGACTTTCAGCCCCAAAGCCTTATGGGTGTAGAATGGAGAGGTAGAAGACACCAGACAAGTTTCCAGGCACACGTCCACTACAATGGACATTCATGTTAGCACTATAATGCTCTCAGCTGGGTCCCTTTAGTGAATCAGAAACAGATCCCACTGCCTCATGGAGCTCTCAGCTCCTGGGGTTCACATATCAGCACTGGGAATAAGGCCCCCCAGCCTGAGCATGAGGTACACCTTTTCAGATATGGAGGGTGCTCCTCAGGATGTGGGTGTTGGCAAGATAGAGTGATGTCACTGACAGACCTGATCAGGGACAAAAAGTTAGTCACATAACTTTTTTTTCACATTTCCTGAAGGCTAGTGGTATGAGCTGTTGAGATGGTCCCTTCCTGCCATGACCTTTCCATGATCATCAGATTCCTCTACTGGGTGGCCATTAGCCTAATGGGTGAGTCCTAAGCTTTGGGAAATCCTTATAATGGATTTGTCTCTAAGTTGGTTCTAACTGGATTCTATCTCAGGGATTCTGTCTCTTCCCACAGGCCTTTCAGCTATGAGAGTCACCCAGATCCCCAGCCACCTGGTTACAGAGAAGGGACAGATGGTGACACTGAGATGTGATCCCATTTCTTCACATGCTGTCCTGTTCTGGTACCATCAGAACCAAGGGCCAGGGCTGGAGCTTCTGTATTACTTTCAGAACAATGAAGAAATGGAAAAGCCAGTGTTGTTGTCCAAGAGATACTCAGCTAAATGGCCCAAAGCATCATTCTCCAGTCTGGAAATTAAATCTCTAGAGCCTCAGCCTTGCTCCCCTGTGCCAGTCGTCTATCCACAATGCTACAGAGTCATCTGATCTCTGTGCAAAGATCATCATAGTTTTGGCCGTTTCCCCAAATTCCCAAAGGTCCTACCACAGACCCTCAACTCTCTCTCTCGTGGTTTCAGCTGCAGATGCATACTCTGAATGAGGCAGCTAGTCATTAACTCTTAAAGTTCCAAGTTGGAAAATGTTAAATGACAATGACTCCTATTCTTTGAATGGCTCAGACAGCTCAGTGTACATGATAATAGCCAATTATTATTCAGCACTTTGCAATTTGAAAAGTACTTTACCTAGACTGTCTCATTTGATTCTTATAACAACCCTAAGAGATAAGAACTATTATTCTCTTTATCTTACAGAGGAGGAAACTGAGGCTCAGAGGAGTTTAAAGAGGGTTAGATAACTAGTAAACATCTGAGGTAGATTTGGAACTCAGACTTTATGGACTCCACATCCTTTCCACTGAAGCACCTAATAGTGGTATCCAAAGATCTGAGGAGGAAGAAATAAGTCTGTCTAAAGTGGAATTGCAAAGTATTCATTAATTTCCTATAATATTATTCATCAATCTCCTTTGACATTTTCAATGCAATTAAAATTGAAAATTCAATTTTAAAAATCATATCACAAATGCACAAATATTATGCTTATGTTAGAGGAAAAGGCACAGTCTCTATCCTCAAAAAGCTTACAATCTAGTAGTGGAAGATATGGAGGGTAAAAATATGTGCAAAAAAGTATGTACTATACAAGACAGTTATGATAAATACAAAGAAGAGGTCCTCAGTGTTTTGAAGAATTTGATAGGAGACGGATCACTTTCAGGGACAGCTAGGTAGCACAGTGGATAGAGTGCAGGACCTGACTTCAGGAGGACTCATCTTCCTAAGTTCAAATCTCGCCTCAGAAGCTTACTAGGTATGTGACCTTGGGCAATTCACTTAACCGTTTGTCTCAGTTTCCTCATTTGTAAAATGAACTGGAGAAGGAAATGGCAAACCACTCCAGTATCTCTGCCAAGAAAACCCCAAATGAGGTCATGAAGAGTCAAACCTGACTAAAAAAACAACCAAACAAGATCACTTTGATCTGTGAAAATAAGAGAAAACTTCATAGGGTGGGAGGGGTGGTGGTGGTGGTGGTAGTGGGGTCTGAGCTGAGCCTTAAAGGAAAAGAAGGATTTCAACAAGTAGAGATGCACATTAGAGTCTCTTTCAGGCATGAGAGAGGATTTGTGTGAATGTAGAAAGGTAGCCTCCAGTAACAGCCAGTACTTCTGTTTTGCTACAACACAACACATGCGAAACGAATTAATTTTAGAAAAGTGAGGAGTAATCTGGTTTTTGAAGATCTTGAATGTTAAAATATCACAAGACAATTTTATAGACAAGATGACGGGGGCCTCAGGGGTGGAAGGGATTTGAACACACAGTCACACAGAATGTAAGTTGCAGAGCTAAGATTCAAATCCAGGTCCTTCGTCTCCAATTGCAGAGCCCTTTCAGCCATGCCATGCTGTTAGAAGATAGTTTTGATTCTTTTAGGCCACAGAGATGGTAGCTACAGAATGGGGCATGTGTTCTACACTAAGAGATATCATATAGATTCTCAATAGCTCTAGCCTGAGTGGTCAAACCAAATAATTTATAGTGAAAAATGTGAAATGAACGAAGGAAAAAAAAAACTTTTTCCAACAGAAGTTTTGAATTGATATAAGACAATTGCCACAATGAGCAGGTCAAAGGAATCCAGAAATAGCCTCATTCTGAAAATGGTGATGATAACAAGTATTATATATGCTTTAAAGTTTATAAATCACTTTACAAATAATAATATTTATTTCACAACAAAACAAGTCCTATCATTATCCCCATTTTACATATGAGGAAACTGAAGCAAAGAGAGGTTAAGTGGTTTGCCCAGGGTCACACAGCTAGTGAAAATCTGAGCGTGACTGTGAACTCAGATCTTCCTGATTCTAGGTCAAGCACTCTTTCTACTACTTCACCTAACTGCCTAACACCAAATACAGTCTTTGCCAAATCAGTTCAGAACATAAACTTATTTGCAGAATGTTATGAAGGAAGATAGTGGAAAGGTGTTGTTCAGTTGTGTCTGACTCTTTGTGACCCCATTTGGGGTTTTCTTGGCAAAGATGCTGGAATAGTTTGCCATTTCCTCCTCCAGCTCATTTTACAGATGAGGAAACTGTGGCTCACAGGAGTAAGTGACTTACCCAGGGTCAAAGTGTCTGAGGTTGGAACTGAACTTGTAAATATGAGTCTTCCTGGTTCTAGGCCCAGTACTTTATCTACTGTATAATCTAACTGCCTTAGTAGAAAAGTACAAAACTATTATAACAAGAAGTACAGGAGAAAATTGCTTGTAAGATGTGGTATTGTAATAGATCATCCATTAAATGTTTGATGTAACAAGAGAAGAGATAGCACATAGATAGCATAATGGACCAGAATTAAAAAGGCCAGTCTGGTGGCTCATTGTTATGATTGCAGTAGAATGAGGCATTCACAGTCTTCATATAAGCATGGCAGAGGAAGGGCATTCATAGCAATGAAGGATATTTGTCAGAAACATAGATGATTCTACTTAGCAGAGTTCTTCTGTCCTGTTCATGATGTTAGTCTGGGGGTCTGAACCCTGTGGGAAGGACTCCAGCACGTCATATCCTGACTTTTTTTGTATCTCCTAGGTCATGAAGCTAAATTAAATTAAATTAAGTAAATTAAATCTTGAGTATAGTTTAAATACCTTTTAAGAAGGTCTTGAGATATTGGTCCAACATGGCAACCCATGTGCTATCATATCATATCATGCAATATCATGTCATGTCATACAGTGCCATACTATATCATGGCATATAATATCATATCATGCCACACAATATAATAGCGGGTGACTGTGGAACATTAAATACTTAGCCTGAAAGCTCTAGTCCAATTAATGGTTACTTTGTAAAGGATTTATGGCATAAAATGGTCAAGAAACACACAAAATAAGAAGGTAAGTCTGAATTTCCATCTGTACCACCAGGGCAGAATACCCATGTTTATGAGACCAAGCCAGTGACATATTGAAGATGTTTGATAAACATAATATCCCAATAAAGGGAGCTCAGTATTCTTTCTCATTTGAGACGTGATAGACTGTCGAATTGCTCTTCTCCACACTAAGAACATTTCTGCTTAAAGAAGTCATTATCTACAATTATAGCACTCTTTCAATGGACAGCATGGGAGCAGGGAAAAGCCCAAGGGTGGTGAAACAAAGATAGGTTATCAGGTGAACCTAATCAATGAAAAGTATTTAGAAATGGAACCTCTGAAATGTCAAGAAGCCCAGAGCTAAAAGTAAAAGTAAGTTAGAGAAAGTGATTTGTATTACAAAGTAACAATACAGTAATACTTATACTAATGAAGAAATGTATTCCATAGACACATTGTCAGAGTCTTCAAAATTAGAAGCAGAAATGATGTCTTGAGGCTTTGTTACAGGATATTTGATAAAGGGGAATTATGTCATAAAATTAAATCACTAAATGTTAACAATGTTAGCAATTTGTACCCAGGCAGTAAAGAAGATACCTTTTATTCTATCAGGCCACAAATATAATATCTGCAACATAATATAATTTCTAATTCTGGTCTGATTGCTTCAAACAAATAATTTACAGTGAAAAATGGGAAGGGGCCAAATGAAGAGATGACAGGTTGCCCAGTTTAGATGTCAACAAGGTTGAAGAGGTCAGAAGGGGAAAAGATAATGACACTGACATGTAAAAAGGAAGCCTTTTCATCTATAAAGGAAGAATTCTAGATCATAGAATGTATCTGAGGCTTGAATAAGTCATTCACGTAAGAAAAAGCCAGAACCAACTCTGAACTCACCTTGTTCAGGCTGCCTCCCTACTTTTATCCCCAGATATTCATTTGCATAAGGCCCCAGTGGAAATCTGGGGAACCTCCATGAATAATAGTAGTTTCCCTGACTGATGTAAACTGACTTCTTTCTGAATAAGAAAAAAAAAATTATCGAACAGGAGAGGCTGTACTCCTCCCACCTCTTTCTTGTAGATCATGTATCTCAAAGTCAAGGCTTTGAGTAAGCCAAAGAGCAGAGGTTTCTGTCAAGGATGAGAATCACAGCCCAGGCTGAAAAGGCACAATGGCCCTCTAACACTAGCTAGGGTGGAGGCTAGTATTGGTGAAGATGATAAATGTTTAACTAGTTGTTTAGCAACACATTATGCAGGTTGTGACTTGGGCAGTCTGCTTAAGTCTCTACCTTATCGGTGACTGACTCTCCTGGACCATTGTTTAGGAAAGCCACAGCTACCATGCTTTACTTCACTCCCTACACTCTAGTCGCCTCCTCCTGACCAACTACCTTATCACTCCACTTCCCCACACTCGTTCCCTTCTAATTCTGGAACCTTAAACCATGATCAAATCAACTGTTCAATTATTCCTGGATGTCAATCTATCTCTCATTCATCAATCCTGTAACTTTTTAGACCAAAATGTTCCTCCCTGACCATCACTTATTCAAAAATGTTATATGTCTTGGATGTTCCTCCTCCTTCTCCTCCTCCTCTTCATCATCTTTTTCCTTGAAGGCAGGAACTTTGCTTTCATATTTGTATCCCCATTACTCCATACTCTATGAGAATAGTTCATCCCTGTTACTGAAATTAAGGAATTCAGTGGTCCTTTCTTTTTTTCTCTCAGTCACACTTTTCCACTCTCCAACCTCCTGACATGTTGAGATTTCTTCATATTTCTTCATATTCTTTATTTTTTTGTACTCCTTGAAACATTTCTTCTTATTTTAGGGAACATTCTAATATTTTATTTTCCCTGGAAATCTAAATGGAAAATCTGTGGGCCTCTGTTCATGTTATTTTCTCCTGTAGGATGGAGACAAAAAATACTCTCTGCATTCATGAGCATTACTTGGTACTAGAAGAAATACAACTTGCAATATATGATAAGATATATGACAATATAATATTA